AACATGGGTGGTCTGTGGGCTGAACTAAGGTATTCTGCCTTTAAAATAAAGTAGTGACTGTCTTTTCATAATGTGCATAAACATTTAAATTAACAGCTTTTTAACTTTTTTTCTCAATTTTGCTTGTCATCTGTTCCTATCTATCCTGAAGTATGAAGCAGTTCTTGATTTAGCACAAGATTATGTATTAACTGATTTTAGGTTTATTAATGGTTCATGGGTTCCATAGTAAGTAGCAATGAATTTTCCAAAGTAACATGAAGTCCCCATCTGATATGGTCTGGATTTGTGTCCCTGCTCAAATCTCATGTTGAATTGTAATCCCCAGTGTTGGAAGGAGGAGCCTGGTGGGAGGTGATTGAATCATGAGGGCAATTTCTGCCTTGCTATTCTGTTGATAGTGAGTTCTCATGAGATCTGGTTGCTTAATAGTGTGTAGCACCTTCCCTTTCACTCTCTTCCTCCTCCTCCATCCACGTAAGATGTGCCTGCTTCCCTTCCCCTTCAGCCATGATTGTAAGTTTCCTGAGGCCTCCCCAGCTGTGCTTCTTATACAGCCTGCAGAACTTGATATCAATTAAACCTCTCTTCTTTATAAATTACCCAGCTTTAGGTAGTTCTTTATAGCAGTGTGAGAATGGATTAATACACCATCTCAACACTGAAGACATAGAGGACACAGGCAGTGATCAAAAGTTAATTGAGTGGTATTGGCATGAAGCACTTCACCCAAAGGAGGGCTCTCCTTGTAGCCTAGGGCTTCCCAGAGGCCTCTGAGGTGGAAGTGGACTGGAGCTGGACCTTAGGAACAAACTCTAGGTGTAAAGGCAAGCTGTAATTTTGGAAAGAGTAAGTGGTTCAGGAGAGCAGGGCCAGATAGGTAATATAGAAAGTCAAAGGCTGGAAACAAAGGTTGGGATGACATTATAAAAGAAGGAGCAAAAGAGGAGCCAACTTTTCTGAGTTCTAAACTATATATTAGCTCTTTTAATGGTCATAATTAACTCCATAATGGAGGCCATGTCTGTTAACAAGACAATGCATGGCTGGAGAAACAGAATCCGGTCTGGGTTGCTTAAGCCAAAGAAGGAAATCTGCTGGGTGTGGTAGCTTATGCCTCTAATCCCAGCACTTTGGGAGGCTGAGGTGGGAGGACTGCTTGAGCCCAGGAATTTGAGACCTGTATGGACAACATAGGGAAACTGCATCTCTATAAATAATAATAATAAAAAAAATTCACCAGGTAGTACACACCTCTGGTCCTAGGTACTCAAGAAATTGAGGTGGGAGGATTGCTTGAGCCTAGTAGGTTAAGGCTGAAGTGAGCCATGATTATGCCACTGCATTCCAGCCTGGGCAACACTGAGACTCTGTCTCAAAAAAAAAAGAAAAGAAAATAGGGAAATTCAACGTAAGATCTCAAGGGTAAGAGCACAGTCAACTTGCTTTAGAAACCCACCTGGTGTCTAATCAACTGTAATAAAGGGGCCAGAGTTTACTAGATAAATATAGCTACCAGGGACTTTGTGAGTGGCTACTGGAAAGGAAAAAGTTAACATATAATCTTCAGAGCAATTGCTAAAATATAAAGCATTTTAGCATAAAAACCAATAGATAAATTGAATAGACTTAAAACTGAGGAAGTAAACATGGGTATACCTAAGGCATGCCTGGTCATGAGTTGATAACTGATGAAACTGGATGATGGATATGTGGGGATTCATTATGTTCTTCTACCTTTGTAAGTGTTAAAAATTCTCCATAATAATGGGTTTAGAAAAATACATTCATTTACGGAGAAACTAAAAAGTTCCCTTGGTCCTTCTATTCCAGTCATTATATATGCTTTACTGGAATAAAAACAGATTTTGAATTATTCTCCATGCAATAAAAGCAAAACCACCCAGATCCATTAAGTAACAAATTTCAGGCTTGGTGGGCATCATGGTCACCACTTCAGTTGATTAAAAGTCTTGATGGCTGGAACCTTTCCTGGAAATTTTGATTTAGTAGGTCTGGAGGGGGATCTGGGTATCTTACTTTCTGCACATGATTCTAGTGGCATTGGTGCATGTCAGCTTTAAGGGCTAGATTCTGTGGATTATCGGGTGCAAGCTGCCCCTTTTCATTCCTATCTTTGGCTTGGTTACTTCCCTGTAAGCAGCATGATGATGTAGCACTTTATGTACAATCTTGACTACATCAGTGCATCATGAGACATTCTGCCATTTATTCTCATTTTGTGACTCCAGCATCCTGTCTTTTTCCTGGGCAGTTGATTTATAATACAGCCAATTCTCATTTTAATTGCTTTAGTTTCAAAACATAAATTTCATAGGTGTTTTCTCCCAATTTAACCCACTCAATCTCCTGTTGTTGGGTCTTTTGCCAGAAGTGCTCCCCTCATCCTTCACCAGGGCCAGCTCCATGGGCGGATGGCCCAGACTCAGAAGGGCCTCACATTTAGTTTAGTGCTCTTCCGGCACTATTTTATCTTTGAACCTGTGTTCTGTAAGTGAAGTCTGATGGGACAATGGAATATACACATGAGCAGAGGAGATGTGCATCTTATATCCAGTGTTCCTTACTGCCCTGTTCAGATGTAGTCTTCATGATGCCCTGTAAGCAAAGAACTCTGTTGGACTCATGATATGTCAGAGCTCAAAGAGATTCAAAGTGAGTACAAAGTAAGCATCTTATATCTATGACTGAATAAGTGGGGGATTCTGAGAGCCCCAAAAGGCTGCACTTCCCATTCAAACCCGACTGGCTTCAAACACAGAAAGAAGGCAATGGCATTCTAAGAAACATGAATGACTAAGGAGCCCTATCATATCCTTTTTCACTCATGTTACATTCCTTTGTTAGCCAACCACTTATGCTGAAAATACCAAGAAGTGAAACAGTAACAGTTGAGCTAGTTTTGTACAGTGTTTCTCCTGCTGTGGGAAGAACAAAATATATATGCATACGGTATGTAAACACAAGCTATAAAATACAAATTGTGTAATTTGGGCGATTCTGCATGAGTTAAATGCTCATATTTTCATTTAAAACTGGAATTGCGCAATATAAACATAAACAGTAAAATACATGATAGGAATTTAACATTTTTTAGTTAGAAAAGCATTAAGTAGTAAATAAAAAACATCACAATAACAAGTTGAGAAAGAGCCTATGGAAGAAAGGAAAAACATGACATTTTAGTACCTGTAGAGGTAATGTTTTCCTGATGTTTGCACAAAAGCCGCCCATCCTCATTTTGTACTGGATCCTGCATTTTGTGGAGTCAGTCCTGCTTTTCGCTGCTCACTCCTTCTGAGGCAGTTCTTCAGCCTTTTCTTTTCGTAATCCACCTCCTTTGATAGCCTTTTGAAAACTCCCGCTTGGTGGCCACAGACTTGAGGAGCACCACTGACCTCCTAGTTCCTCTGCTGCTTCACTTGGGGAATCCAGGACTGATTTAGATATGCTGTGATTCAGGGGCTCCCCAGGTACTAAAAAAAGGATATTTGCTGCAGTGGAAGATGACAGAACTTCTCAACTCCCTTCTAACCTCGCTTGTCTTGGAGAAGCCTAATGCTAGAATCTCTTATTTGATCACTTTTGCCAAGAAAAATACTTCCAGAAGACTGAACTCCAGCTACTGTCCTCGACAACCTGGTTTCTCTCTGTTCTTTCCTGCCACTCCATGAATTGTTGCACATTTATAAATGCTTGAAGTGTAATAACTTACACAATTAAATTAGAAGAGCCAAAATGTCTCCTAGAGAATATGTGACAGAGTCATGTTATGGCTGAAACACACATACACAAATGTTGAAGTGACCAGACTGAATTATAAGTGGTTAGTTTTGGGATTGCAAAGGTAAGAGATGTTGCTATTTTAAAGCAAATGAATGAGCTGTTAACACGAAGCTCAATTTATGCTCCCAAAGACTTTCAAGCACTGATATTTCAAGACTTTGAACTATTACAGAAATGGGGAAGCAGCCAGTTAGACCTTGCCCTCATCCTTGAAGGCTAACTCTTCACCTTGGTTTTCCTTGGGGGCTATGGAAAGTGGTAGGTGGAGGAAATAACGAAGGCTCTTTTTCATGAGTATCTACCACTATTGTCAACAATCAAAATAAAAATGTTTCAGAGCAAAAGTGCATGTGGGGAATCCTGTGGACTGCTCTGAGTTCCCCAGTGGGTTTGGAAGAGGGAAACCCTGGGTTGATTAGCAGACAGACACAGTGCGAAGGAAGGAAGCCCAGCCAATCACTGGGGTAGAGAGCAGTCAGGAAAGGAAGTGAGCCAGCTGGGACTGAAGAGTGCAGATGGTATAGGCCCCTGCACCTCATTCCTCAGAACTCTTCATTCTCTAACCTCTGGGACTTCAGGACAAAAACTGCAGCCACCCAAGGAAACTGGGTCCAGGTGGTTGACTCCCTACTTTCCCTGTCGGGAAGTAGAGTGAAGGCCTTGCTTCTGCCCACAGCCAGGGCTGTAGAGGGAGGAAATAAATAGGCATTCCTAATTGAAAATCTGAGTGACCTCCTCTGTAAAAATGTCATTAAATGTAGTAGATAATGTCAGATTTATCTTGTGTCAAATATTAAGCAAATGTGGGCTAGAGGTCCAGTACCTCTATATGTCAATGGGAAAGTGATTTCCGAATTGCAACTTGCTTCCAAAGAAGTCTTGGAAGCTCATCCTGTTTAAAGCAGGAAACTGCTTGTCCCAAAGATGGCCAGGGACCAGGCAAAGTGAGGCTGGACAATTCAGAGTTGTGAAGAGGCAGGCAGAGCAGGTGGAAAGCTGCTGTTAGCAGTGATTGGCATCATTAAAGCTCTTTATGAAGAGTCACGCAAAGCAATGTTTGGGAGTTTGTTTTTAAATGGTTAGAAGTACAGCAGAAGTACACCTCTTCTTTAAAAAGTTAATGAGGAGGATAATTGTAGTACGTGTACAAACATCATAACACCAAACTGGAAGCAAGAAACTTCACTGAAAACTGATGAGGAAGACGAAGTTTATAGGAAGTTGCAAAAGAAACGAGCAGAGCAAGAGATCCGTGGTAAGGAATACAAAGAACGTACAGTTGTGTATTTGAGAAGTTTAATAGAACATTATGATCCGTCAAATTAGGACATCAACATTAACAACAAAAATTAATTGATCTGAGGAAGAGCAGTATGAAAATATTCTCATGTAGCGCTGTCCAACAGAACTTTCTTTGGTGACGGAAATGTTCGTTATCTTTATGCTAATATAGAATCTACCAGCTGCATGAATACTTGAAATGTGGCTAATCCAACTGAGGAAATGAATTTTTCATATAATTTAATTAAAATTTAAATAGTCATATGTGACTAGTGGCTCCTGAAAGAACAATGCAGTTAATTCTTCATGGGTCAAAACCAGTGGTTTATTTGGTGGACTTCTCCAACCAGTGCTATGGGATTGAGGCACGAGTGTTGAAGGAGAGGAAAGAACCCACCAGACTTATTTGGCCACTTAAACAAGACCCCAAATTCCCCACTGGTTCCCAAGGCAGGGAACAGCACAACCTGCTGTGAAGGGTATGAGGAAGGACTCTGAGGGAGGCATCACTAGGAGCTTCCAACTCCTGGCTAATGTCAGTGGGACCAAAAAACTTAAAATTTTGGTCATTCAGCTGGAAAGAGGCCTATGGTTCCACATACAGAACTGGAGGTCACTCCCAAGGGCCATCTGTGCATGGAAACCACCACTCTGGAGCTGCTGGGGAGTTGGAGGGAGGGGTGCTCACTTCCGGACAGGGTTTCCAGAGCCAGAGGAGGATTTAGAATTGGAGGAAGTAGAGGGACCAGAGGGTCCTGAGGACCCTTTCTGGGTACCTGAAGGCTGCACAGGCCCTTTCTTTTTTGGGATTATGATCTTGTTCTTGCTCTTAAACACTTTGCTGGGATCCAGTTTATTCACAAAGGAGTCGGTCTCTTCTGTGAGGAGGTTTGTGTTGTAGTTGATGGGTTTATACATGCTGAACCATTGCTGTAAGGCAGAATTGGGAGAGAAGGTCACAATTCAAAGAAGAAATGCCATTCTGTGTGCTGTTTTGGGGGGATGCGGGACAGCTGGGAACAGGAAGCAGGTACATTTTCATGAAAATCTACCTAAAAATCTATTTGCTTTTCCTTTAAGTGGAAGTGATGACAGATCCCATCAACCTCCGGTAAGATACACACATTGCTTTATGAGGTCTCATGACGTTTAAGATAAATACAATATGAGAACTAAGAATCTGAGCACATTTCCTTCTGATCTAGTGAGTCCTGAACCTGGGTTGCTAGATTCCAAAGCTCTAGAGGACAGGGTCTAATTATTCTGCCTTCAAACCAGCTACTCCCCATCAAGTGGATTCTGGCAGCATCATTCCCCCAGGAAAGGTAGGAGGCGGGCCACTGTGGGCCTCTGCTGAGGGGTGCTGTATCTGTTGGTGTTCTGTTTCCTACTGTTTTTTTAGGCAGCTGAGGGTAAAGGGCATCCATATTTATCTACCTTTTAAATCACAGCTGCCTCCCAATGTTAACCAGATAACTGTTATAATTATGTGACATTTGAAGAAAATGAAGCCTACTAGATGAATACATACATGGTACAGTGAGCTGGAGCTGAATTCCTAACTTGCTGCTAATTTAGAGCTGCAAGAAACCACCATGAAAGAGCCCGGATGAGCTCACTCTAGTCAAAAGATTTTCCAGCTACACTTGATATTTTCAAACCTGGCATCGGTATGTCTGAAATGGTGACCAGACCTGTAATATAAATGAGGGACACTCACACAATGGAATACTCTGTAGCCACTGAAGAGGACAAGTGCTCTAAATGCACTGAAAGGTGATAAGCTCCAAGATGGAATGTTATGGGAAAAGAGCAAGATGCAGAATAATGTGGACAGGACATTATACTTGTGATTTAGAAAAAAGGAATGACAAAAATGTGCATGCATGCTTTATGTGCGATGAGTATCTTGGGAAGGGCACACAGGAAACTCTTAATAGCAGCTGCCACTGGGGAAGTACACTTGGAGAACAGGGGAGTGAGAGTCTGACTGTGTACTCTTCCTGGGTGCATGTACTGCCAACCCAGATCAACCCATCAGATATAAACTATCCAATAAAATTTAATTAAAAATAAAGCTCCCCAGTTAATTCTGAGGATCAGTCAAGTTTGGAAACCACTTAACTAGATGAGTATAAAGTAAGGTTTTCCACTGGAATCACCTGTCTTGTTTATTGAACATGTAGGTTCCTGGGCCCCACCCTAGATCTCCTGAGTCAGATGGGGAAGTTGGGAACCTGCAACGTAACCATTTCCTCAGATTTTGGTGTATACCATAGTTTGCGATGGCAGGCGTTCCTCCCTTACCTTGGCCTGTGGGCTAATGCCATAGCTGGTGAAGGCATATTGCCACTGGGGCAGGCCCAGGTGGGTGATGAGCAGGCGGTAATAGGCAGTAAAGGTGTCTGTGAGAAAATGCCAGTACAAGGCTCTGTCCAGAAACCATATCTCAGTGTCTTCTGCTAATGCTGAAATGGAAGACAAAGGGAAAAAAAGACAAGGAATACCTTAACAGTTTTTTCTTTTGAACTATAAAAGGTTATACTCGTGGTTTAGAGAAAAAAATCCCAACAGACAGAATGTAAAATATAAAGTAAAAGTTCCCCTTCTGCCCCACTTCTAACCCTCTAGTCTCATTTTCTAGCGGCCACTTTACCAGTTCCTTTGATACTCTTACAGATTTTTGATAGATCAGTTGATTGCTCTATCCGTTGGTCTCTGACCACCTGGAAGTACATTCAGGCTATCTAAGAAGGTGCTGCTCCTTTTCTGTGTGGAATCAGTGCTCCCCTCCCTCAGTGGGTGTGCACATTGTGATCTCAGCTTTCCTGACAGAAGACCACTGAATGGCTTGGGTTTTTCTTGAAGAGGTCTCTATCAGTGCCATGAAAAACCACCACAAAGGAGACTAGCCGAGTTCACTCCTGGGAGTCTTGCCTATGCTGTGGTGTGATGTCCTGCCTCGCAGTTTCTGACTTTCCATTCTTTTTTTTTGAGACAGAGTTTCACTCTTGTTACCCAGGCTGGAGTGCAATGGCGCGATCTCGGCTCACCACAACCTCCGCCTCCTGGGTTCAGGCAATTCTCCTGCCTCAGCCTCCTGAGTAGCTGGGATTACAGGCATGCGCCACCAGGCCCAGCTAATTTTTTGTATCTTTGGTAGAGACGGGGTTTCATCATTTTGACCAGGATAGTCTCGATCTCTTGACCTCGTGATCCACCCGCCTCGGCCTCCCAAAGTGCTGGGATTACAGGCTTGAGCCACCGCGCCCGGCCCTGACTTTCCATTCTTACTACTTCAAGCCTGTCCTACTTCATCTGCTGTCTAGATAGCTGTAACATCTCCTTAAGTGGCCTCCATTATCCATCCAGTCTCTTTCTTTGACAAAACTGCTAGTGGTCATGATCTCTGCCATTCTACTCAACAACCTTCATTGACTCCCCACTGTCTTCCACATTATGTACAAACTCCTTTGCTTGGTTTTCAAAGCTCTGCATGAGAGAGAGCAATTGGCCTTCTGGCTTAATCTCCTCCTCATCCCCAACATGAACCATGTGGCCCACTGAATTGGAAGTGTCATTCCCCACAAATCAGATGTACTTTCTAATGGCTTGGCTTTTGCCCATTTGTCCCTTGGCTTGGGTTCCCCTTTGTCTCTTTTACTCCACCAAATCCTCCTCCCCACCCTGTATCTAATTTCTGCCCCACAGTTCAAGATGCAGCTCTAAGACTATTTTGCAACAATTCCTCGAGCTGGATGATTTGTCCTTCCCCCAGAGGTAAATCCCAGTGTCTGTATCCTCTCACCCCTACCAGACAGCTAGCTGAAGAGGGCTTGACATTGTCCAGCTATGTAGTTTCACAGTCCCTAAGCTAGGGTCTGAAGGGCTCTTAGGGGCTAGGTGGCAGCTGCTGCTTGAGGGCAGAGGGGCTTTTAATTTCCCATCTGGGGTCTTGAGGTCTAGTAATTCAGGTTTTTGTTGCTGTTAATTGGCCTACATATAGAGGTATAAAATGAAAGATAAAAGGCAATGCACTTTCTGGATGCTTATCCAGTGCATGAACTTGCTGTCAGAGTCTATAACAAAATGTCTATTTCTTTTAGTTTACACTCCCATATTACCCTAATCCCATCTACTATTTTGCAATGACTCACAAATGAAGGTGGATAAAAAGACTAGTAATTAGCCCAGAGGAAGATGTTCAGAGAGAACCAAAGGCATTTCTGGGTTTGGGACACACAAGAAACCTGGGAGCATGTCAACAGGCCAAGGAGGTATGTGTCTCCTAAGCCATGGCTGACAAACAAGGTCAGACAAGACCCTAGTCAAACTACAGGACCATGCTTGTAAACGATTCTTACCTGGTTTCCCACTTTTGTAGACAAGGCAAACTTTCCCATTCCCATTGCATGAATCCAGCTCAAATATCACACTGCGAGAGTCAAAGTGAGGCTTCTCTGGCTGATCGTCACTGGCTGCAAACCCAGAAGTTAATGGTAATGTTCAAACAAACTCAACTCAAACACATACTTACATATCCAACTTTGCTAGACTGAAAAAAACAGAAGGAAAAAGCCTTATCTCAGACATATACTTAAGTAGTATTTTCAAATAAATTCTGTATTTGGATTAAAGCCCTGAACTCATTCATGGACTAGGCCTTCTGTCTGGGTTTCCCTATCAGCAACAGTGTCAGGGAATCTGGGAAAAGGAGGCATGAGGAAAGAAACTGAACTTGGGAGTGGGACCCCAGAGCAATCTGAATGGCTTGATGCTGACATAACTTCATTTCCTTTCCTGAGATTGTTTATTCTATAAAAGTGGGATAGCAAACACATGATCTGATTCTTGCTTTCTGTGCAATACCATGGAGAAGCCCTTTAAGTCATGTGGCATAACTCTAATTCGTTATTTTTAAATGACTGTTTCATAGTCTGTGGGAATGAAGTACCCTCATTTATTCCAACATTCCTCTATTGAGAGGCATTTGCCTACCATTACTTGTGAATGCTACAATAATCTTCTCTGTATATGCCCATATATTCTGATGTTTTCATTATATGGGACAGATATCCTGCAATAGAATAGATGTTGCCAGATTGCTTTTCATAAAGGCTGTTTTCAAGATCCAGGAAGATAGACTAGAAATCCTTTGTTTTTGAAAGACATTTTCAATGGGTATAGAATTCTAGGTTGATTTTTTTTTTTTTTTTTTTTTTTGAGACAGGGTCTCCACTCTGTCACCTGGGCTGGAGTGCAGTGGCATGTGAAAATGGTTCATTATAGCCTCAACCTCCTGGGTTCAAGCAAGCCTCCTGCCTCAGACTCCCAAGTAGCTGGGGACCACAGGTGTGGTCACTACACCCAGGTAATTTTTAAATTTTTTTGTAGAGATGGAGTTTTGCTATGTTGCCTAGGCTGATCTCAAACTCCTGGGCTCTAGCGATCCTCTGGCCTCAGCCCCCTAAAGTGCTGGGATTAGAGGTAGGAACCACTGCACTAGCCTATTTTTTCCTTTGAGTATTTTATCTCACTTGAATTGCTTTTAAGGAGAATTATGCTGTTATCCTTATCTATGTTCCTTTTTATGTAATTTGTCTTTTCCCTTTGGCTGCATTTATAATTTTCTCTTTATCTTTGATTTTGAGCTTTCTGATTATGGTGCTTCTTGGTATCATTTGTGTTTCTTGTTCCTGGTTTATTAAGCTTCTTGGATATGTGGGTTTATAGTTACCATGAAATTGGTAAACTTTTGAGCCATTATTTCTTCAAATATTTTCTGGACCCTGACCTCTCCTCTCAAATACTTCAATTACACATATATTATACCACGTGTTGTCCTTCAGGTCACTGATGCTCTTTTCACTATAAATGATTTTTTTTCTGCGTAACTTTAGATAGCTTCTATTATGTTTTTAAGTTCTTTAGTCTTCTTCTGCAATGTCTTAGCCACTAATAATCCAATCCACTGCAATTTTCCTCTCAGAAACTAGTTTCCATCTCTAAAAGTTAAATTTGGGATAGAGATATATTTATATCTTAACATATATATACATATATATATAAAACATATATATATATATAAAGCATATATATATACAAAACATATAATTTGGGGATCTCTATATATTCTCTATACACATACAAACACATACACATACACACACACACACACACACACACACAGCCCTTCCATGTCTCACAAATCAGTCAAATTTTAAGCTTTTCAGCAGCCTCACTGCATCTTTTGAAAAGGACAATGTACCCTAGGCAAAAGCAATGCCACATGTTGAGCCTCTTCCCTGGATTTGTGTCTCCTTCTGAATGTTGATGTGGTATTATACCTCATTGTCTTGTTAGCTCTTTAATACTTTTAGGAAGATGATTTTTTAGTTCTGTACTTCTTTTCAGCTGTCCTCCACAGGAAGGCTGCTCTGAGTTACCTAGCTTCCGTTATCAGAGGAGGAAGTCTCTTCATCAGTCTGATAGTCTTTGTCTTTGAAAAGGGAGATTCAAGCCTATTACATCCAATCTACCTTTTTGTTTTACAGAGATAGGGTCTATGTTGCCCAGGCTAGTCTCAAACTCCTGGGCTCAAGCAATCATTCAACTTCAGCTTCCCAAAGTGCTGGGATTCTCCCCTAGCCCACATTTAATGTAATAATCTATCTATTTTATTTTCTTCCCCTATATTAAAGTTATGTTTAAATATTTCATGTTCTTTCTTCTTTTTCCTTTTTATTTTTACTCATATCATTCAATATGCCTCTTATTACACTGGCAATTTTAATGTAGTTTTCATTCCTTTGGTGGTTATCTTCCTTTTTGTTGTTGTTTTTGCTTGCAATGATTATATCCATATGACTCTATTGTTATTTAGAAACAATATGCCATTATTTTCCTAACCAAGTGTGATATACAGAATTCTAAGATGGCTCCCAACATTTCTGCCCCCTGGTGTACATACCTTACCCCCCTCCTCTTGAGTGTGATTGGAACTTGTGAATATGATGGGTAGTCATAACCATGGTTGTTACATGAAACAACTCTGTGGTAGTACACTGGAGATAAATTTGTCTTCTGACTTAGACATAAGCTGCTACATTGTAAAGGGTCATGTGGCCAGAATCAGAGGGCAGCTAAAGGTAGTGAGAGTAACCCTGGCCAAAACCCAGGAGTAAAACAGGGACTTATCTACACCTGTAAGAAACGGAGAACAGCCAACCACAATAAGCTTGGAATAAGATCACAATCCCAGCAGATACCTTGATTTTGGCCTTTTTGTTTTGTTTTGTCTTTTTACCATTCTCCACTGTGACCTCTGGAACACCCTCTGTATTAATTTGCTAGGGCTTCTGTAACAATGTACCACAAACTAAGTGGCTTAAATAACATACAGTTATTGCCTCACAGTTCTGGAGGTCAGAATCTGGGACTGGTATCTTTATAACTGGTTCTTTCCTGCTGTGGGGAAGAATCTGTTCCACGTTTCTCCCCCAGCTTCTGATGGTCTGCTGGTAATATTTGGTATTCCCTGGCTTTTAAAAGGATCACCCCAACCTTTACCTTCCTCTTCAAATGGTATTCTTCCTGTGTGCACCTGAGTCCACATTTCCTCCTTTTAGAAGGGTGCCACACATACTGGATTAGGAGCTCACCCGACTCTAGCGTAACTACTCATCTTAAGTAATTAAATCTGCAGTGACCTTACTTCTAAGTAAGGTCACATTCTCAGGTACTTTGGGTTATGACTTCAACATAATTTATTTTTGGAGGGTGATACAATTTAACCTGTAACACTCGTACATCTGGTCTCTCTACTCACCTTTTAGGTTTAACTGAGACAGTATAATACTTTGTAGAATATTTCTTGTACTATGTTCCAAGAGTTTTTATGTAAAAATTATACAACACATCCATGATATTAAAATTTACTTTTAAACACAAACACATATGCCTACTCTCTCTCATGGAAGGTGCATTGATTCTATGTTTCCTTTTCTTTGTGTATATACATCTTGAAATATCCATTTGGTTTCATTTGTTTTTTGGCTATTTACGTTTTTTTAACATCTTTCTTATGACCTGAGAGATATATTTGGATTGTGTATACAGGACTCTTGACTTTTACTTATTTTCTCTCAGAAACCTGTATGTGCTTTTTCACTATCTTCTTTTTTTTTTTTTTGAGACGGAGTTTCACTCTTGTTACCCAGGCTGGAGTGCAATGGTGCGATCTCGGCTCACCGCAACCTCCGCCTCCTGGGTTCAGGCAATTCTCCTGCCTCAGCCTCCTGAGTAGCTGGGATTACAGGCACGCACCACCATGCCCAGCTAATTTTTTGTATCTTTAGTAGAGACGGGGTTTCACCACGTTGACCAGGATGGTCTCGATATCTTGACTTCGTGATCCACCTGCCTCGGCCTCCCAAAGTGCTGGGATTACAGGTATGAGCCACCGCGCCCAGCTTTTCACTGTCTTCTATTTCCACTGTTGTAGATGGGACATTTAATGTCGTCTGTTTATTATTCCCTCACAAGTAATTTGTTATTTTTGCCTAGAAGCTTGTCATTTTCTCCACATCAGGATATGCATAGGTGTCTGTGTTTTCTCACCTGTCCAGCTTGGGTTAGGTGAGCCTTTTCCATCTGCAGAGAGGTTTCTTTTATTAGTATGTATTTACTGCCTTTCTATCTATTCCTTTTCTCTTTTTAGAGCACCTATAATTCTAATAGAAAGTGTCTTGAATCTGTTTTCCACTTCTCTAAATTCCTAACTTTTCCCTCATAATCCCCCTCTTCTAAATTCATTCATCTATGCTTTATGATATATATTGCACTTGATTTTTCAGGCTAACTTGGGTCTCAATAAAATATATATTTATACACTCTTCTTAATATAGTCAATTGTTTGAGAATCTTTGTTTTTACCCATAGAAAGTCTTTATGTTGCCTTACATCTCCTTAAGTATTCTTGTTCTTATTTAGATTTTTATCTGTGTCCTCTAGCAGTTTTATTTCTCTGGGTATGTATTTTTTTAAAACAGTGATGGAATCTCACTATTTAGCCCAGGCTAGAGTGTGGTAGCTATTCACAGATGTGATCACAGCATGCTACAGCCTCAAACTTGTGGGCTCAAGTGATCAGTGGCAATTCACAGATGTGATGATAGCGCACTACAGCCTCAATCTCCTGGGCTCCAGTGATCCTCTTGCCTCAGCCTCCCAAGTAGCTAGGAATATAGGCTAATGCCACTTCACCCGGCTGATTGTGTATTCTATTTTTTCCTGATCATCATCTCTCTGACTGCTGAGTTCCCTGAGAAAAGTCACTGTTTTTCCATTTAGGTTTAATGAGACTTAGGTATACTTGTTGCACATCTTAAAAGGCATGAATCTAGCAGGTGTCCGAAGGCCAAGTGGTTTTTATCCCCATTTGTATGTGGAACAATGTAATCCCATGAAGCCTCTCTGTTATCTACTATACCTCTTCTCTTCCAGCCTCAAAAGCAAGGAAGACTTAGTCTACCTATTTGACTACTTCTTTGCCTTTTAGCGAAGCCCACCACACCCATGTAAAGACAGTGAGACGTTTTTCCTGCCCCTGGGGATTCCACACATCTTTGAGTGACAGGCTCTTCCCAGAACCCGTCGTTGTCCAGCCTCTGCCCCTGAACTCCTCTGGTACTATTCTTCAATGATCATCCAATTGGAGGAGAGCCCTACATTAATTTTCTCTGCCAGAGCTTAGTGAACCCCAGGGTCTTAGGATTGGAGACACTAGTTGCCTGTTCACTATTTGTTTTTCCTTTCTTTCTTAATGAAAGCCCAGTTCTGTTCAAGGAGGCCATATTGCACAATTAAAATTACTCACTTCTCAGACCCCTGGCAACCTGGGTTGCCATTTGACTGTTCCAATAACTATTAGGCACTGCTGCTGAGAAAACTATTGTTTTCTTTATCAAAAGGGAGAGATTCTGCAAACAGCCAGGTATACTGCCCTTTGCCTTTTACTCGTCTTTTTTCCTGACAGGAATAGCCCACATTCCTCAACCATGAGGATGAAAACCACATTCACAGGCTGGTGCAGCACAATGCCAGAGGGAGACTTTATCATTGACTTTCTCCAGCAGCTACATCAACCTAGTTCCAGATGTCTTGTTATGAGAAAAATAAATTACTATTTAAACATTGTAACAACATCTGTTATATGCGACCAAACACAACTCTAAGTCCTCACTTATACCCAGCTGCTCCTAGGTTTTTAGCAGCCACTTGACTTATGAACCATTTCACTCAGAATGGAGAGGAAAGGAGCTGTATTTAGATGGCTGTGCTCACTGAATCCTCTTGATACTGAAATGTCGAGTAAGTTTAATCTTTAACATTCATTCATGCACCAAGATTCATTAAGTGCCTACTATGTACCAGGCACTGAACTGGATGCTGGAAACAAAACAAAGATGCCAACCCTGGTATCTTCTTCCTACCTTCATGTGTATCATCCTCCAGGTCTGCCAGAGTGGGTGCATTAGGAAGTGAATACATGGAAGACTGGGTGAGCTGAGTCAGTTTTGAGATGCTGTTGATTGCCATGCTGCCCAGTGGAATGATATGCTCTAGGGGAAAATACACAAGGAGAATTACATGGAGTAACAGCCTAGTCACAATGGTTATCATGAGATTCTGCTTGAATAACCCAAGTCCAGGTATTGTTTCGCCCCACAGCTGAGGACTCTGATAGAAGGTGGGAAGAAGAGGATCACTCACTGCATAGTCCAAAGTACCAAACTTATACAAAAAAAGGAACTGGGGGCTACGGGTGATGAAGATCAACCACTATATGTATTAGGGTGGAGTTGAGAAAAAATTTAAAAGGGGAATACCCACAAAGAACTGAGAAATCTGGGCTTGACTTAGGGACATCTGAAGGGTAAAGGATTTTAAAATGTTTTTGCTCCCTCTTTCCTTTGTTTAGCAAGTATTCTGCATAAATATTTTATGAAGGAGTAATAGCTTTGATCATATAATGGGCCCCTTCTATTCTTCTTGTTATAAGCTTTCACAAAAAAAAAAAAAAAAAAAAAAATCCCCCCTTCTATTTATCATTTTCCTTTACTCAGTGATGAGAATTTGGCAGCCTTCTTGCTTGATTCTAGTCTTCTGTGATGAGGGTCTAAAAACAGACTAGGAAGGCTGCATGTTTTATTTGACTGCTGAAGAAAACTGGAATGGTTTAAAGCAATAAAACAACTGGTGGATAGACCACGGAATGTCTAAGAAAAATGACCACTAAAGAGGCAAACTTCAGAAGCTGCCTCTGCCGCCTTTTCAGTCATTGACTTAGGCCGTTCAGTAAATAAAGGGTATGGTAATGGGGATAAGATGACTGGGCTTGGGGAGATTAAATGAGATAAGGTATTGCAATAATGAATTGGGACTCATTCATAAAACTTTTATTCTCTGAAGCAGGCTTGTGAAGGGGATAGCTTGTTTCAAGGATGTGGGCAAGGGAGAGTCTGCCAGTTGGTTTAGTCTCTGTCCCCTCTGTATTGTTCCAGACACCAATAGCCATGGCCATGCTATATAAGAGGGTTCTGATGCTCGTGGTAAGGACAGTTTCTAAGTCGTAGATGGAAATGATTCTAAGATAAAAGCTAATGTTCAATATTAACCAGCAGGCTACAAAAGTACCTCTGGCCAGCTGTGCAAAGAGGAAGGCATTGGAAATCACCCAAACAGGGAACTCAGGTGTGTAGGTAGAAAGCTGAGGCAATGAAGGGGAGAAGTCTGCTCTGTAGATTTGCAGTGCAACAGAAGTCACTGCATTTTTAGGGACAGCAGTGGGGAGATGCAGGGTACTTCCCAAAGCCAAAATAGATCTGGTTAGAGTCAGAAACAATAAAGGACTGGAGGGAAAGGGCTGGGAAATCTGTGCCAGGTATGGGCACTGTGGCTAGACAGGGGTTTCTAGCTTATGAAATGTTTTCAGGAGTCTTCACCTAAATGTTCAGCACTGCCTTTCATGCCTACATAGTATCTACAATCTGACATGTACAAACTTGTGAGTTCCCACATTCACATGCAACTGTTTCATCCTAGACACATTAAAGGATAAAGATGACAGTTGATGAATTGAGGTAGTTGGTGACTTAGGCTGAGGCGATGTGAAGGAGACTCTGGTTTGAGGCTTAGGTCTGTGCAAAGACTCTGGTTTGAGGGTTAGGGCCCTGAGGTCTTTATGATGGTGGGAATAAAGGAAGGAGCCTGAAAGAGGTAAGTGGCCCCTGTCATGAACACTAGAGAATGTCACTGCAGCCTACCCTGAGGGGTTTGCTCTGAGATGGAGTCCTCGGAGGCTTTAAGTTTGGGGTGGCTAGGAATTTTTAGGTAGAAACTAATGGTTTTCTCTACCCTATTCCTATAGGAAGCCTCTAAATTGAGTTTCCAGTTCCAAACTGCTAGACTGGCATGGGGTTCATGGTGGGTGAAGCAATGATGGCATCTGTTAGTTTTGGGACATAATCACAGCTTCTGGAAATGGCATTTGAGAAGCATGCAAGAAAACCAACCAGACTCAAAGACTCAAAAGTTGAAGGGCCCTCAGAGTTGTCCTATTCAATCTCTGAGCCAGGGAAATGTCCCCCTACAGCAAGGAGGCTGACTCACCATCCAGCTTCACACTCCATGTCATGTGGAAGCCATTGGTCATCAGGTAAAAGTTCTTCACATCTTCAGGCATCACACAGTTATTCTTCTAGAATCACAAAGCAGCTAAGTGTCAGGACAGGGCCAAGAAAGAGGGTACAGGACTATGCCTCAAGGCACTGGGGACATGTTTGCCATGTTATAGGTCCCCGAAATAGGAAGACTCTGATAGTTACCTACAAAACTCTCATAGAGAGGCGCTGGAGTCTGGCAAGCCGAGTCACCAGTTTGCCTTTTTTTTTTTTTTTCAGCAGCTAAAGCAAACCAGGTATCTGCTCTGCCATAATAATGCCTCAATGGGCAGCCACCTGGCAAAGGAGCTCAAAGGGAACAAGCTGAAGAGGAGACAGGGGAACATGGCAAGAGAGGAGGTCCTAGGTAAAGTCTGACAATGTTCAAGCAAAGCAATCACTGCTGTACATTTGACCCATGCTCATATATTATTTTCTGAAACAAGTAATTGGACAAATGAGGGTACACGGCTATGACTCAAGGCACTGGGGACTAACATACTCTTAAAAGTGAAGAGTATATTGTTTCCAGAAAACCTATGCAATGTCTAGGTTCTGACAGCTCTTAGAAAGTAACCATATATACTCACATATTTATTTCACATGGATAATAAACCATCCAAACTGTTGGTGGAGAGAACGGAGCTTAGTATCCTTCAAGGATATACCAGGAACAAGCCCTACATTCTAAATAACTCAGTCTTTAGTCTTCCCTAGCCAACTCAAATCCCTGGAGTGTGCACAAGGATGAGTTATCCAATTCATTTCCTGGGCTCCTAGAGTGACTTCTTGATCTAGTTACGGAGGCAAAGAAGAAACATGTTAAAACTATCCAAGTTTGTGGCTTACTGGACCCTTCTGAGATGTGACGCTGACCACTGCTCATGTCAAGACTGCGTGAGGTCAACCTGTCAGTCAGTTCTAGGTACCCAATATGTGGGAAAGCATATTGGAGAAGGACAATCTGAGTTCACTTCCCAACTCTGCCACTAGCTGAGTGACCTTGAACATGTCACTCTGTGAATCTAGGCTGAAGAATAAACTGAAGAATAAAGACTGAATATACAGAACACTGGAGGTACAAGGGGGTGTGAGTTTGACAGGAAGAGAGAAGACTAGGAAATTATTATTATTCACAGCCATAGCATCTTTAGGAACTATAGATAAAGAGAAAGCTTCAATCTTGCCAGAGATTTTAAGCAGTGTTTTTAGATTATTAAATGGACAACAGATGTCATTTTAATGAAACAGGCTTTAAACTTCCTTTACCTATGAACTAGAATGTATGTTCTGATCAAATTTTGTGTTTTCTGTGTCCACTATTTAGTTCCCAGTCTCATAGATGTGAAATTTAAGAGACTCTCAGACTCCTTGGACTAATTTATTTGTTTTCCTACTGTTTGGAGTTAGAGGCTTGCTCCTAGTCCCTCCTGTGTGGCTACATTATCTGTGCCTTCAGTGGAAAAAAATACACTTGCAAAATGCCTTTCTCCCACCCCTAGAACCCTGGTACAGGAAGCCTACAGTTACCAGGGTTCTGACAAAGTTCTTGCTCCTACCCCAAAAGGCGAGCATCCCTCTGACATTTTGATCACTAGTGCCATCTAGTGGTGAAGACAAGGAAACTACTGTCTATCAGCCTTTCTTAATGGGGATTCCATGAGAACCAGGCTGAGGGCAGGTGGACTACTGGGCATTGTTCATAGGTAAGTCAGGCTGAATAATTCCAGTAACAGTAATTATAACATTTCTTATGGCATTTATTTCACTCAAGAAAGACATTTTGGTGTTTTATACCATTATTTTTACAATTATTCAAAATTCAAATAGAAAAAAATCTGTGAAATCAAATATTTAATACACATTTCAAATACTAACATACATAAAAATTTTCAAATAAACAAAATTTGTGAAAAACATCAAGCCCTCACTGTCATTCTAATTTAAATGACCAGCAGCCCTGTCTCTGCTGCTCTTTGCTGCAGACCTTTCTGCCCCAAGCATCCTGGGGGCAGCTGCTGGGCCTGCAGTGCTTCAGCCTCTTTCTATTGCATGTAACTCTTCTGATGGGGCAAATCCAGGATGAAAGGTTCACAACCAAAGCTTAAATGACCATATACCCTCTTCAGTCCTTTAAGGTTGGAGAAAAAAGTAAACAACCTCTCCTAATTTTAATATATTTTACCATGTTTTTTTTGTTCTTGCCAGTGACTCAGTTACTGCCATTTTAAAATTTTTCTTGTAACCAACCTACAAAGAGTTTGCTTTTCCACAGGGAGCAATCTGCCCACATCACAAAGCTTCTTCCTCTACAGATTCATGCTCAGTCTATATTTTGGGGGGGGTTAATAGGAGGGCGGGGAGAAAGAAGATTGGCAGAAAGTGATAAGGTAATATCAGGATTGGAGGGAGGGTTTGAGGAGAAGGCCAACAAGGGAGAATAACACAGACTGGTGTCTGTAATAACAGCTGACTGCATCAAAATGGTATCTGCAATGTCTATCCAGCCCAGTGGTGCTTCTGTCACATAGTTCCCAATTTTCAATCTTTCTTTTCTTTTCTTGAGATGATCTGCAATGGTTTCTTTAAGCTACTTTAGTAAGAGTCCACCACAAGCTCTGTTACTACTTCATTGGATGAAGGACCTGAAGCACTTTTATGTTTTGGGAGCTATCAACAAGATTCCATAAACCAATACCACTGCTTGGGCCTCAAGGGAAGGGCTAGGGGCTGTCCATTGCCTTCTACTCACCTTTTCTCCTCCTGGACAATCCTGCACCCCACTGTTCCCCACCCCCTTTTAGAGGCCACTTCCCAACTGGGGAGCAGATGCAGGATCAGGTCAGCATGGAAACCAGAGGAAAGAAATAAAAGTTTCTGTAGGTGCTGGTCCATGCTGAGCTGGCTCTCTGGCTGGTCTACAACCACAGCCAGGTGAAGAGCTGCCCAGGATGTCCATCAAGGAGGAGCATGAGAACATTGCCTCAAGCTATGGCAATGAGCAGAATGGCATCTCCTGAAACTCTTCTCAGGGAGGACATTCCACGAAGTGGAAGGAAAACCTGGATGAGCTGTGGAGGGATGGGGTGTGAGATTCCTAAGAGAATTGTTAAACTCCCACCTTAGGAGAGGTGGAGGTGGAGGGCTTGATTAACTGAACACTTTTGTCTTAAGTAGGGTATGAGAGTTTGAGGACAGAGCTGCATTACTTAAACGAGACTTCGGTCACATCAGGGTCACCACCTGAGACCTTAGTCATGTCAGGGTCATCACCTGAGATGCTAATCACCACCTGCGGAGATCTAACCCTGGCTTAACGACTGGACTGGATGAATGAATGCACTCAAACACACCAGAATACAGTGAATCTGAGTGGGCTAGGGATGGTCATCAGCTGCTTTCAGAGGGTGATTGCAGCTAACTGACCACCACTCACTACTGCTCCTCCTCATATTTATTCGGTAGGATTTAATAACAGAGGTTCTAAGTCAGTATGCTTGTGGGTAATTAACATGGTTAAAAGAGTGGTTTTACGAATGATAAAAGGTCTTGGTTCCAGGGCCTAGAATAAATACCATTAATGGATTACCCCTTCGACCTCCTCCTGAGAGGACCATCCAGCACAAAGTTTACATGTGCAAACAAATTAGGGACAAAGGAATGTGGTATAAACAGACTTAATTGGGGAAGCTTTTATTACTCCTAAACTTTATCCTATGACTTAAAGCTCTAACGTATGAACTGGCTGCCTTCAGCCCATTCTCTTGAAACCTTTCAGCATTCCAAAAGGTTTGAGATTATAATCTATAACTTTCCCTAATATTTCCCTAACATTTTGCCAGCCACCCCAAGTGAATCCCAACACTTAAGGGCCAAAAGAAAGGTAGCATACTTTTTCCAAAATCCTTTCTCCACAGAACCATCAGTCTCCCTCTAAAAACACGTGAAGAAAAAAATATATAAATAGCCTGTCTAGAGGCACCACAAGTCTTGGTAAAGCTGTATATCTGACAGCTCATGCCAGACAACCTTCACAACAGTAATGCCCTCAGGTTTATATAATCATCAAAATTCTACCACTGGAGGAATTAGTGGGTGAAGGCTTTGCATCTGCAGCTGCTCTGCTTCAGAGATGGTGGTGTGGTGGCCTGAGTCTCAGGACAGAAATTAAGGACTGCTGGTGAAAAAGAAGTTAGGCAGCCTTGGGAAACTTCCACACTCTTTCTGACTTTTGTGTTTTATCTAATTTGCTTACTCATCTCACATTTATTAAGTATCTATATAAACACTGTGTGGAGCACTAGCAACAGAAAGAGAAATGGGGGAAGGGGCAAAGGAGGCTGTGTCAGACATATGGGTTGCTTATTCAAATCCACCTTCCTTTTCCTCCTTGGCAGAACCTTCATTTTGTTTGAGATGGCAACGTGTCCTATTAAATACCTGTTTTCAGAACCTCCTGCAATTAGTACTTGACATTAAAATGTAAACACAAGTCGAAAAGAGAAGGTTTCTAAGAAAATTTTCACTTTCCTGTTGAAAGGTGACAGATGTGCCTGGCAACATCCCCTACCTCCTTTTTGTTCCTTGAGCTTGGAAGGGATAGCTGAGACTGTAGCAGTTATTTTGCCACTGTGATATTGTGAAATATATATTTTGTCTCTGTCACAGTTTCCTGGCATACAATTCCTAAAATCCTTGCAATCTCTAAAATGATGTCTTTTTGTGTGCTAATGAGTTGACAAATGACTGGCAGCCCCAAGGTAGCTGCAGGATGGGGGATGATCACCAGAAAGACCAAGGCAGGCAGTGGGTTGGAACTTTCAGCTCCACCACCTAACCTAAGAAAAAGGGTTAAAGGATAAGTTGATCATCAATGGCCAATGATTTAATCAACCTTCTTATGAAGTCTACATAATGAAGCCTTCATAAAAACTCAAAGGACAGGGTTCAAGAGCTTCCGGACAGCTGAACACATGAAAGTTCCTGGAGGGTGGCGTGCTCTGGATGGCATGGAGGTTCCATGCCCCTCCCACCACACCTCGCCCTGTGCATCTCTTCATCTGTATCCTTTGTAATAAACCTGTAAATGTTAAGTAAGTGTTCCTCTGAGTTCTGTGAGCCACTCTAGAAAATTAACTGAACCTGAGGAGGGGGTCATGGGAACCCCAATTTATAGTTGGTGGGTCAGAAGCACAGGTAAACAACCTGGGACTTGTAATTGGTATTGGAAGTGAGGGGCAATCTTGTGATACTGAGCCCTTAACCTGTGAGATCTGATGCTATATCCAGGGAGATAGCATTAGAACTGAATTGGAGGATACCCAGCTGGTGTCCACTGCAGAACTGATTGCTTGTTGATGTTTGGGAACTCCCCCTTGCAAAACACACACGTTTGATCATGGAAATTTTCTGTGTTGATTGTTGTGGAGTAATGGGAGAGGAAAAGCAGTATGTGTTTTTCCTACTCAGAAGCACCATAAAGAAAAAGGACAAAATAATTACAGAGATAAAGGCATAACATTATCAGGGCTGATGAACCAACTGCACCTGTCTACCTCAGGACTTGTTACATGAAAAATATTAATTCCTATTTGCTGAAGCTATTGCTAGTTTATTATTATCTTTCCTTGAGCCAAACACATTCCTAATTTATACAGAGACAATTGTTTAACAGATAAGTGTTGCAGAGCTGCAAGGGTCAAAGAGAACTAGGAGGGAAGAGTCTGCAAGGAAGGAAAGAATCAGGAGAGTTGTGTTTCTGAATCCAAGGGAAGAGAGACTAGCAAAGAAGGTAGTGGCTAACTGTGAGGCATGCAGGCGTGGAACCAAGTGAGATGAGGTAAGTCTTTAGCAATGAAGGGGTCCTAGTGATTTTGACGGAATGGTATCCAAGAATGGTGGTGGCTAAAGGGAGGCTGTGGCAGGATGAAGAATAACTGAGAAATAAAGGAAGGACAGTAATTTGTCAACTATGTCCACTGGATCCACCCTGTCACCTGTTTTTGTAAAAATGTTTCATTTAAACATAGTCACACCATGCAGTTCAGTACTTTTGATGGCTACTTTCACAGCTACAATGGCAGAAATGAGTAGTTGTGACAGAGACTCTAGCACCCACAGAGCATAAATTATCTGGTCCTCTCAAAAAAACATTTCCCAACCCCTGATGTAGACAGTTTTTCTACATACTTGGTGTGAAAAGGAACAAATGGCTAAACAGCTAGAAGAAGACATAATGTTGAATTTTTTTTTTTTTAATTTTAAAGAGATGGGAAGCCCCTGTGGAGAAGCTGCCGGGAGAAAGAAGTGAAGTGCTAGCGAGAAGGATTGACTGGTAGAGAACAGAGAAGCTCAGGCAGAGTAAGAGCATGAGATGAGGGATCACTAGTGACATGGTGTCACAGGATGATTTCTTCTACTGGAAATGCTTATGATAAATTCATAGTAGGGGCATGTAAGGAACATATCTTCAAGAAGGTTCAGAACCCACTCTGTAGACTGTAGAAAAACTGAGCCTGAAAACAATGGGGATATTCTGCCAAGTCCTTTGGTTTCTGTGGGCCATGGTTTCACCAGCAAGTGAACTGAATTTTAATCTGGGGATTGAAGAGTGTATAACCCTATCAAGAACTGTAAAGCAGTCTGCTACTATGAAAAGTCACTGACATGCTTAATAATAACAGAACTCTCCTGGCACCAGGTTGCTATGAAAACTAAGAGGCAGATGTTTTCATGGTGCTTGAAAGATGAAAATCTCAGTGTAGACATTAAGCCTTACTATGGACCAACATGACGAAAGGTAGGTAGCAGGTACAATGAACATGAATCATACAACTGCAGAGAAGCAGACAAACTGTGTACTGAAGAAGAAAAAATGGTGAAATATATAAAAATGGAAAAAGGTTGTTCACATTTCCCTCCAACCTCAGGTCACAGTAGCAGATAAGTGATCATTTAGGTTTCAGTTGTCAACCTTTCTTCCTAGATTTGCAGTACAGAAAAATACTAGATTACAGCTGGATGAGTCCTTCAATAACACTGATTTCAAACTACTTATTTTATACATGACGAACATGAGCTCCAGAGAAGTTACATGACTTAGCCCAGGGTCCAGAGCTGGCATAAGACTCCTACTCGAGTCTGTTTTTCCCAAATCAAAATGCTTCCATATCCTTACTAGTATATTGTATCTCAGTGAGCTTCCCAGAGACCTATATTTGCCCAAAGGGGCAGAGGTCCCCTTTGTGGGGGGCCTTATCTGAATGTATTTATGCAGCTGTGGTCACCAGATATACCAAATGGAGGCTTGGCTCTAAATGAGGTATCTCCAAGGAGACAGGTCTCTAGGGTCAGTTCTCTAGATAAGTAGGAATTATCAGCCCCTTGGGATGCTCCTGCTTCTCTGGTATAGGCACTTCGGGAAGAAGGCACACAGCAGGGGTGGCATATCAAGCCCACTCCCATGGCAGCATGCTCTTTAGTAACCTCTTGGGTGAGAAAGTGAGACAAGAAAGTTTCAGAGCAGTCCAAAACTTCTACCCTCCATTGCTTAGGAGACAAAAGTAGGTAAGAAAATAGCACATCAGGCATGGCCACATTTGAATGAAAAAATTATTCAAAAACCTGTTTTAAACTTTTTGGGGTCATGAGTCCCTTTGAGAGTCTGATGAAGTCTTCCCCTCGCCAAAAAAAAAAAAAAAAAAAAAATACATCTGACATACATTTTAAGGAGGCTATGGACCACTTCTCATTCATACACTTGTAAGGGATCCCATTGCCTACTTTCTACCCACACGCATAACCAAAAATACACCAACTGTGGTTATGTCTAGGTGGTAAAATCCTAGAAGACTTAAAAAAAATTTTTTTTTGTATTTTCAATACTTTTTTGACTTTTGTTTAGCATAATCAGAAAAAAATAGTGTTACATAAAAACTGAATCTTAAAACAGACATACACACCCCAAAGGCTGTCTTATTCTCCAAGCATCCCACAGGCCATTATAAGCCCAGACATGCCAAACTCATCTTGATAGTGATCCTAATACTGTTAGTATGTTATTTTTAAAATTTTGATTACTTATTTATTTTTTAAGAGATGGGGGTTGAGGGGTTGTCTCATTATGCTTCCCAGGCTGTTCCTGAACGCCTGGCGTCAAGCAATTCTCCCACCTTGGCCTTCCAAGTAGCTGGGACTACAGGTGTGCACCACCACACCTAGCTTGTTTGTATATTAGATTTGGAATATTTGAACTTAGATCTGAGATATTTTAACTATAGAACTCAAAGGAAAATTCCAAATCTATGTATCTATGTCCCTCATTTTAGGTACCAAATCTATGTATCTATGTATCTTATTTTAGGTACATGCATTCTCTCAACTAAATATGTCTGAAGAAAATGTTCCATTAACTGTCTCAGTTAGTTAAAAATCTCTTTCTCTGATCTTACCCTTTAATCCTTTTAGACCTCTGATGGCTATTTATCTAGCAATACAACTGCATTTCTCTAAGTGCCAGTCTAAGTTAAAAGGGAACCCAATAAAGTTGCATAGTCCAGGAGGCAGATTAGATCCCAAGAGATCCCCTGCAGACTCTATCCCTGAAACACAGCTATGGAAGGCAGCTCCAAATGAAGAAAAATACAGTATAAGTAAAACTGGGTCAAATGGGTAAAGTCTTCTCCTTATAACAATCTATACCATGTCTTAGGCAGTAAGATCAAGAGGCAAAAACAGTGCCTTTTTAAAAATACCATTTAACCCACAGGGCTCAACACCAAGCACAATGTCTGACCCACTGTAGAAGCTTAAAACTCTTACTGAATAAATGAATTTCAGAGGAAAGTTGGAAAGCATTAGCTTTTAATCTGCTTAGCAGTTACGTGCATCACTTAACCATGTTCTGGACAGCATGACACTTATATATCCTTTTCTTCCCTTAATTGATTTTTAGCTTTGTTGTATACAACTTTGAATGTCCGCTACCTCTACAGGAGAGTGGGGCTCAGGGGAGACATTCCATGCTGGGTAAGTGGCATAGAATGAAAGGAACTGTTAAATGGACTGAACAGGAACACTCTACCTTGAAAGCAGCTGTGGTTTGAGATAAGCATTCTTCCTTCCCAAGTCTTTCCTTCTCAGGGACATTTACATTGACCTCTCTTTGTTGGGAGGTAAAGACTTCACGTGGCAACACTTACTTGTTCCCATGAAGAAATCATATGACGTTCAGCAGGAGGCTTTTCTATGATGGTCACCTCTGTCACACCTGGGGAAGATTCTGGAGGAGAAAAAAAGAGTCTGTAGAGTTGCAATTGGTGCACTGTCATACATTTCTATGCTAGATGTTGACTAGCTATTGATGACTGCTCTAAGAACATCCAATCCTTCTTGTACACACTTAGCACTCCTGCGATGAAAGAAGAGGACTGGTTGGCCTCTGAAAGGCATGGTTCCATGACCTAGCACAATGTAGTCTACCTGGTAGAAAGGATATCCACAGAATGTGCTCTATACTGTCACTGCTCAGTCATTAATCTTATTGAACAAAAAAAACCAGATTGTAGATTCCTAGTGATTTCACATGGAAATTCTCAGTGAGCTAAAATGAAAAGAAATAAACAGCAATCCATTAACTTTTATAAGACATAAAACTTGCTTATTAAGTTTTCTTCTAAATAAAACTCATCTTGAACATAATCTTCTACTCTATGAGGTCTAGGATTTAAAAGCTGGGTTAACATGAAAAACAAATTCCATTGATAAATATACTGAGAAAAAAACAAGTCACATTTCTAAATCCTTGATGTAGGAAAAGGTCTCCAAACAATCTGGTTTGCTTTTCTTGGTGGAGCTGTGTTCTATCATTCACTCTGAGGAAAAGCAGAAGCCACCTGGAAATACTACAGAGTTCAATACCTCCTCCAACATTCTCCACTTGTCTGTGGCCATGCAGAGATTCTGAAGCCCTTAATCAAAAAAATAAAATCTGTCATAAAAGCTGTTATGACTTGAATTCTGTCCCCACCCACAAAAAAGATATTGAAGTCCTACCCCCAGTACCTCAGAATATGACCTTATTTGGAAATAGGGTTACTGTAGATATAATTAGTTTAGATGAGGTCATACTGGAGTAGACCCCTGGTCCAATGATTGGTGCCCTTATAAAAAGAACATGTAGCCAGGTGTGGCAGTGGATGTATAGTCTCAGCTTCTTGGGAGGCTGACACAGGAGGGTAGCTTGAGTTTTTAAAATCTCATGGACTACGGCAGAGACTTATAATCATTTTATGTCGTTCACTGATTCTATAATTAAGCCAGTGCCCTTTTTATGCATTATAAAATTAGTTGCCAGAAATTCAAATCTTGGGATGCAGCAATAGCCCAATATAGGAGCTAAGAAATCTAGACTTTACCTATTCTAGTCTTGCTTTATACATTTACTAGTTGTATGAACTTATATGGGTCTTCACTTCCCTTCACTTTCAGTAAGTCACAACAGACCTTAGGTTTGAAAGGGGACACATACAATTATTTACTGTTTATTATATAGCCTACATGGAAGGGTTATAGGTTCAGACAAAACTACTATGATGCTACTGCAGATGTGGTCATATCATACTTAAGCTTAGAATACTCTCATGATAAGCTAATAGGCCAAGATGTTGACTTTAATAACTTTCAGATAATAAGTTGCTTAGGAAGTACCCATTATAGAGACTCCTAGATCTAATATAGTACTTCAGCATTGGTGAGGACGAAGTGTTGGGGATATGGAGGAGAAGGGTATTCAATAAATTCCATTTGTATAATGCTCTGTTACAGGAAATTGGCATAAATCATCCCACTTAATCTTTCAACAATCTTGTGAAGCAGGTATCCTTACCCTTGTTTTAAAGATAAGGAAATTAGGGTTTAAAGATGTTAAGTAATTCATAGAATGAAATCTCTGACCAAAGCTGTGGACACCAAGCCCAATGCTGTTTTTATTACATTGTCTTAGTAGCCTATCATTTTGCTAAGATAACTAAAAGCATTTTGTGGATGTTTAGAAAGCAACAGAAATTATACACTGTCCTTGGCCTATCAAGATGCCATATTTGAGGAGCAATATCTAAACAGGCATAGCCATTCTCACCGTCTGCCTTTGTGACCAATGACAAGCATTTGTCAGCCACCTGGCTGGAATAAACTTCATGGCGGAGTAAGAGTTATGAAACTCAGATCTTTAGACTCAGCACAGTCCACTCTAAGTAACTGTGTGATATGCCACAGCTTAAAACTCTTTGTGCTGGCTTAATCCAATGGTGGGTGCTATCAATTCCTTCCTTCCCTGCAGGCCCATACCACTTCTCATTGAGAGGTGAGTCCATTTCTCCAACTTCTTGGGTTTGGGGTTGGCCTGTGAGTGCCTTGCCCTATAAAATATGGTGAAAAAATAGTGTGCCAGTTATGGACTTAAAATTTAAGAGAACTGGAAATTTCCCTTTGCCTTTGATTCCTGAGCCATCACATACAAAATCCAAGCAACTCTTCTGGAGAGAGAGAGCGAGGCCACACTGAGAAGTACTGAAGGGGGCAGACATTCGAGTGCAGATGCCATTTGATGATTCCAGTCCCAGCTGCTATCTAACTGTGACCACTTGAGAGACCCCAAATGAGAACTACCCTAGCTGGTCCAGTCAATCCATAGAGCTGGGAGAGATAGTTAATAGTTATTTCAAGCAAACTATGTTTTAGGATGATTTGTTACCCAGTGATAGATAACTGGAATATATTTTCTGGTGACAGTCTCTCTGTGGTATTTAATGGGGACCTGCTATGTCCTAAGCTTGGGTAAATTACTGCCAGAGATTAGGAATTTAAGTAGGAGACACTGTTTCAAGAAACTTACTGCCTAGTTAGATAAACAAGACAAACATGAAACAAAGTGAAAACTGCAAGATAATATGTAATTACATGTTAAACTAGGTGATACTGACTGTCAGGGCCACAGGAGTTGAAGGTAGAGGTAAGTTGACAAAGACTGCAAGTGATAGAAAACATCAGAAACTGCACACAGCTGATCTGGGCCTTCAAGGATGATGTGTCTCTTACTGCAGACTGGCTCAATTAACACCTCCTCCTGTTCCCCCCTGGCTTGCTTTCCTTTATTTTAGACTGGGTAGCTAAAGACCTCATTTCCTAGATTTCACTGCAGTTAGACTCCCTCTGGTGGCTGGGATGCCTGCATAGAAATCTACTCTCATAAAACTTGGAAGAAGGGAATCAGCAGATGAGGAAGAGAACAAATGGAGAGACCAGATCTTCTTGCAAGCATAGTTTCACAGGTGTTTCGGTCTCAGAGGGTGCTGGTGGCAGGAGCAAAAGCAGGAGCAATTTTTGATTCTGCAGCTATCCTCTGGGAGTCTGAAATTCTGAGACCTGTGGCTTGTTGTTCTGCCGACTTAAAGCCTAAACAGGCTTTCTGGAGAAGAAACACTATGCACATATTGTTACATTTCATTGTTTAAGTAGTGTGTGACCACTGATAAGAGGGAAAACTTCAGAAGGCCGTGCATGGATTCCTCTAGATTCTGCCTATATCTTTTCCTCCTGCTAATCAATGCAAAAAATTACACTAGGGACTACTACTGTTTCTGAGTCCTGTGTGTCCTTGCAGTGGATCTGGTAGATCTAAAAGTGTGGATGGTTGTGGGATCCCAGAAACATGCATCTATCTTTTTATATTTAACATTTCTAACTTCATTTGCCTTAGGTATGTTTTTGAAAACATCAAATAACTGGGTTTTGTAAGTCAGGTTTAAACTGTTTTCTATTAATAGGTGACATAAACCTTTATGTATATACTTCAGAGACAGGGTTTTGCTATCACTCAGACTGAAGTGCAATGGAATCATAGCTCACTTCAGCCTCCAACTTCTGGGCTCAAGTGATTCTCCCGTCTTAGCCTCCCAAGTAGTTGGAACTACAGGTGCACACCACCACACTGGGCTAATTTTTTTTTTAGGTAAATTACTGGTCTTTCCTTACACCAGATGTGCTGACAGGTATTTTAGCTGTTGTATTTTCATCTGGAGCTTGGGGTCATCTTGGAAACTCATTCCTGTCATTGACAGAATTCAATTCCTTTTGGGTGCAGGACTGATGCTTCCATTTCCTTGCTTGTTGTCAGCTGGGGCCACTCTCAGCTTGCAGAGGCCACTTGTATTCCTTGTTAAAAGGTCCCACCCATCTTCAAGTCAGCAACAGCGTAAGAAATTCTTTTTATGCCTTAAATTTCTTTAACTTCCCTGTTAACAGCTTGTTTTAAAGGCTTAGGTGATTAGATTGGGCCCACCTGGATAATCTTGCTTTTGCCATTTAATATAAAATAATCGAGGTGTGATATCTCATCAGCTTCACAGTCCTGGGAATTAGAGCAGGAATTCTAATAGTACCATGTTTAGGATTCCTTTTTAAAAATAGCTTTACTAAGATATAATTCAGATACCATCATTCACCCTTATAAAGTGATTTTTATATTCAGAGTTATGCATCCTTTCCCCTAAAAGAAACCCATATGTATTATATTAGCAGTCCCCTCTCCCACCAGGCTTGGCAACCACTAATCTACTTTCAGTTTCTATAGGTTAGTCTATTCTGGACATTTCATATAAATGAAATCATACATGTGGCTTTTGCAACTGGCTTCTCTCACTTTGATTTCAAGATCATCCATTTTGTAGGATCAATATTCATTCCTTTATATGGATGAATAATTTTTTGTTACATGGATATATCACATTTTACATATCCCATTCATCAATCAATGAACACTGGGTTGTTTTCACTTTTGACAATTATGAATAATGCAGATACAAAATTTGTATACAAGTGTTTTCATGTAAATATCTTTTCATTTCTCTTGGAGAAATGAAATCCAGAAATGGAATTGCTGGCCATATGGTAACTAATCTTTTGAGGAAGTGCCAAACTAGTTTCCTAAGCTGCTGTACATTTTACATCTCCACCAGCAGTGTATGATATCTCCACATCCTCGCCAACAATCGCTGTATCTGTCTTTTTGACTCTAGCCATCCTGGTGGGTGTGAGGTGAAATCACATTATGGTTTTGATTTGTATTTCCCTAATGGCTAACGATGATAATCATCTTTATGTGTGGTCACTGGTCATCTATGTATCTTTGGAGAAATGTCTGTCCTGATCCTTTAAAATTGAATTATTTGTCTTTTATTGTTGAGTTGTAAGAGTTCTTTGCAGATCTCTAAGTCCCTTTTCATATATATGATCTACAAATAGCCTTCCCCATTTTTTGGATTGTCACTTTCTTGACTGTATCCTTAAAAGCACAAATATTTTAAATTTTGATTAAGCTCAAGTTATCTGTTTTTCTTTTGTTGCTTATGCTTTTAATGTCATATGTAAGAATCCAGTGCATCATCCAAGGTCACTTAAAAAGTAACCTAAGATGTGTTTTTTTTTTTCAAGAGTCTTATGAAGTTAATTTTTGTATGTAATTTGATGTAGAGGTCCAATTTCATTATTTTACTTTTAAGTCTAAGATACTTTTGGAGTTAATTTTTGTATGTAATTTGAGGTAGAGGTCCAATTTCATTATTTTACATGTGGAAATCCAGAACCATTTGCTGAAAAACTATTTTTTCCCATTGAGAAGTCTTAACATCCTTGTCAAAAATCAATGAATCATAAATGTGATGTTTATTTTAGGAATCTCAATCTTATTTCATTGGTCTGTATTTCTATGTTAATGCCACTACTACTCTGAAGACTACTGTCCTTTAAATTTTAAAAATTATAGTAAAACACACATATCATTTTAGTCAATTTTAAGTGTACAGTTCAGTGGCATAAAGTACATTCATACTGTTGTACAATCATCACCAGAACTTTTCCATCATCTCGAATATAGTAAACTTTGAAATAGGAAAATGTGAGTAAGAGGAACTTTTTTCCTGTTTTGGAAAGAAAAGATTGTTTTGGCTACTCTGGGTCTCTTGAATTTCTATATTATATTTTAGGATTACATCAGCTTCTCAATTTCTACAAAACAGACAATTGAGATTTTGATGGGAACTGTAGATCAATTTGGGGAGTAACAGATTTTAACAATATTCACCCTTCCAATCCATAAACATAGTATGTCTTCTCATTTATTTTGGTCTTCTTTAATTTCTTTCCACAGTCTTACAGTCTTTCAGTACATAAATCATGGACCTCTTGTGTTAATTTATTCCTAATTAATTTTATTCTTTTTTCTTTTTTTGAGATAGGGTCTTACATTTGTCACCCAAGTGGAGTGCAGCAGTGTGCTAGTTCACTGTAGCCTCAAACTCCTGGGCTCAAGTGATCCTCCTACCTTAGCCTCCTGAGTAGCTAGGACTAAGGCATGCACTACCACACCTGGCTAATTTAAAAATTATTTTGTAAAGACTATGTTTATTAATAATTTTATATTTGATTTGATTTTGTTAGTGAAGTTCGATGGAATTATAAAGGCTGTACCAGGGGCTTGGAGACTCAGCTTATATACAGCCAGCCTCCTGCTACCTCTGGGGATCAGTTCTTAGCCTTCTAAGAACTAAAACTATTAATAAAGATTAAAAGAAAAAAAGACTATGTTGCCCAGGCCGGTCTGCAACTCCTGGTCTCAAGCAATCCTCTTACCTTGGCCTCCCAGTGTTGGGATTACAGGTGGAGCCACTATGCCAGCTACATTTTATTCTTTTTGATACTATTGTAAATTGAATTGTTCCCTTAGTTTTATTTTTGGATCATTCATTGCTGGTGTACAGGGATATTTGTGTGTGTGTGTGTGTGCGTATACCTTAGGATTTTTTTTATATTCAAGATAATGTCATTTGCAAAGATACAGTTTAACTTCTTCCTTTCCAAATGGATGCCTTTATTTCATTTTCTTGCCTAACTGCCCTAGTTAGAACCTCCAGTATAATGTTGAATAGAAGTGCTAAAAGTGGAATTCTTACTGTGCAGATAAGAGTGAACATAGCAGGCCCAATATAATAATCCTTAAAAGGGCCTGTTAATTGGGCTGCCAAAATCCTTTTGTTGTAATGAATCACAGCCATGAGTTGGACTATCTCCTGAGTCCTGTAATCCTTATGTCAGATCATTGAATCTGGTGTGATCTTGGGGAACCTTGACACAATTTTTCTTCCTGATTTTAAGGAGAAAGTTGCCAGTCTTTTACCATTACACATGATGTTAGATGTGGGTTTTTTTATAGATCTCCTTTATCAGGTTGACAAAGTTCTATCTCTATTGTATCCTATTTCTAGTGTGTTGAGTTTTTTTTAAATCATGAAAGCATGTTAGATTTCATCGAGTGCTTTTTTTATTAAGATGATCATGCAGTTTTGTCTTATTCTATTAATAAGTTGCATTACCTTAACTGATTTTTTTAAGTCACTTTTTTTTTTTGTTTGTTTGTTTTTAGTGACAGGGTCTTGCTATGTTGCCCAGCTGGACTTGAACTGGGCTCTTGTGACACTCCCACCACAGCCTCCCCAGTAGCTAGAAGTAAAGACATGGGCCACCATGCCCAGCTATTAATTGATTCTCATGTTAAACCACACATTCCTAAATCACACTTGGTCTTGGACTTCTATTAAAAGAGACACAAATTTACAAAATCAACCAACCTTGCAAGTAGTGCTAAGTGCTATAAGGATAAAAGAAAAACCAGGATAAGAAAAGAGAGCAAGAAAGATGGAAGTTATTCAAACTATATTCAGGAAAGGTTTCTCTGAGGTAATGACATTTGATCAGAGATCTGAATGACCTGAAGAAGCCAGACATTCAGAGAAAGATAATTCCAGGTGTAAGGACTAGCAAATTTCAAAAGCCTTGAAGCGAACACATTAGTGTGTTTAAGGTACAGCTAGAAGGCCATGTGGTCAAAAGAGTGAAAATAAAGTCAGAAAGAGTTGGGAGCAGATCATACAGCGACTTGTAAATCATGGTACAGGCATTTGGATTTTATTATAATTGTGATGGGAAGGCACTGAAGCATGCTTTTCAGCCTTCTTAAAAGACCTTTCTCCTCCTTGGTTTTCTGGCTAACTCCCATACATCTTTCAAAATCTAGCATCATCTCCTCTGTGACATGTTCTTTTAACTTCCCTGATAAGATCAGTCCCCTCCTCTGTGATATCTCTGAGTAACAACAGATTACTGACCTCTTTTCACACTCCTAGGGACCTCATTTTTTTTCTTCACGGAACTGTGTCTTTTTCATATTTTAATCTCACAGTCTAACATAGCAGTGAGTACCAAAGAAACGTTCGATAAGCCAGGCACAGTGGCTCACGCCAGTAATCCCAGCACTTTGGGAGGCCGAGGCGGGTGGATCACCTGAGGTCAAGAGTTCGAGACCAGCTTGGCCAAGATGGTGAAACCCCATCTCTACTAAAAATACAAAAATTTAGCTGGACGAGGCAGGGAATTGCTTGAACCCGGGAGGCAGAGGTTGCAGTGAGTAGAGATCGCGCCATTGCACTCCAGCTTGGATAATAAAAGCGAAACTCTGTCTCAAAACACACACACACACACACACACACACTCTCTCTCTCTCTCTCTCCCCCTCCCTCCCTCCCTCTCACAAACAACAACAACAAAAGAAATGTTCGAGAAAAGAAAAACTCTATGTCATTCAGTGGTGCAAGGTTGGATTCCTTTCAGACCCGAGGTAACTGTCGCCCTGGGAAGTCGGCTGCATCACTTCCCTAGAGGAAGGGCTTAGGTTACGGGGATAATGCCCTGGCTGAGAACGCCTCAGGTGCTTGCTGTGTCCGCTTTGCACGGCTTTGCCTGTCCTTCCTGCGCGGGACCTTGCGGGGGCGGTGAGTGGGGAAATCTTCAAGCTTCCCAGCACCGCCTCCGAACACTCCTGGCAGACTCTTCCCCGACCTAGTCACACACCGGATCCCTCACTTTCCTCCGTAACAACAGAAGCCACAGCAGCGATGTCAACTCCTGTTCAGGGGCCGGCGTCGCGCCGCCCACCCCGCACCTCATCCCTCCGCTCCTACTCCCTTCTCCCCCACACCCTCTCGGCATCGGCCTCCCACCCCTCACCTAGGATGCGCGTGATGCCCAGGGTCAGCTTCTCCAAGTGCGGCTTGCTGCAGCCCTGTGGCGGGGGCGAAGCCTTCTCCTCCATGGCTCGCGTCCCCGATCCGCGCGCGGCGGGGGCTGGAGGAGGGTCGGACCCCGCCTCAGCGCCTCGGCCAAGTTTACGGCATGCCGGGAACTGTAGTTCTCGGCGCCTGAGAGCGCCGAGCTGTGGTGATGGGAATCCCGGGTTGGTCTGACAACAGCAGCTCCGCGGGGCGCCGGTTCCCGCGGCCCCGGCCGGTGCCCCGCGCCGCACCTCCAAGACATAGCGTCCCTTTTGCCCCGACCCTCTCGCCCCGCAGGGGCCGGCCTCGCAGGCGGGGGCGGGCCTCTGCGTGGTTCTGCCAATGGGGACCGCGCCTGCAGGCCGGGGCGTGGCGGCCCCGGCGCGACGCCCGGAGTGGCGGTTGTTTCAAGATGGCGGACGTGGCGAACCCCTCCCGCCCCTGCGTCGCGGCGTTCTGGAGCCGGGACTGTATCCTTTGCCCGCCTGGCAGGGGGCGCCGGCGCCCTCTCCCGGGGCGGCGAGGGGCGAGTGGTCGCGTGGCAGTCTGAGTGCGGAGGAGAAGCTCCGAGCTATCCCCGGTGGCGGGGACGTGCTGCTCGGCCTCAGTCTAGGTGCTGGGCTTTCCGCTTGCTTGGGTGTTAGGTAGCGGAGAGACTGGTACGATCTCCAGGTGCGGGGACGCGGCGCAGATGCTTCCCTGCCCTCACTAGCGGTGAGCGAGAAAGATAGCCTAGAGTCCACGCTCAGCCTGGGGCTGGGCGGGTTCTCCGAGGTCCCCCTGCCCACCCTCTCGGTGTGCCCCGAGGCCGACCGAGTGTGTGGAGCGAGCTCGAGGTTGAGGGAGGAGTGGATGTTGGCTGGACAGGGACCCTTTTTGTTTTGATTTAGGACTGTCCTTAGTCTGCATTGCTAGGAGCAAGTCAGGACCTTGTCGGACTTAAAAGGCCCTCCAGTGATGACATATTTTAGGGGAGCTTGGTTACTGCGATGTGGTCTGTTGGTGCTACTGTGTAAGATGGGAATCATTGTGCCTGGAAGTATTGTTGACTTAGTTGTAGAGTGTGAGTCACTGGCAGGCATTGAAGTTCTTGGATCGTTGTGAGATGAAGCAGTGGAACTTTTTAGTCCAGTGGTAGAGTTACCAGTTAAGCAGCTGTGATGAGATGTTTGTGTGACAGGAGTGTTTCTGTCCCTGGAGTAGGTAGACTGTTCTCGCTTGAGCTTTGGCGCTAATTCACTTCCTGTTCCTTAGAGGAGTTACTTGAAAGAGGGAGGGCAATCAGTGTTACCGAGTGCTTTCAGAGGCAGCTTTTTCTCTTTACTAGGATTGGTGATGGCATTAAGGTATTGCAGTTACCTTTGGCAGAATCACTCTTTGGACATTCTTCTAAGCTCCTGGTGAAACGTACAAAACTGTGTTAACTCCCCTACTGAGTTACTAGGATTAGTGTCCTGTGGAGAGAGGGATATGTTTGTATTATGTGCTGATCAGGTGTTTAGTGTTTGCACTTAATAGACATAATGACCATTTGTCTCTGATAGGTTGGTGAAAAGCAGATGAAATCATGAACTTACACTGATGAACGCATACTAGTACAGTGTGCAAATTAAACATTTTTTCCCTTACCTCTCAGAAGAGAATATGTGCACCATGGACAACTGGGCTGAATTAGGAAGTTAGAAAATTGGGATAAGTCTTTTCTCAAGAAATGCTGCTTTTGCATTAACAAGATTTTGTGATAGAGGAGATACTTGAAGGTTATTAGCATATGGTATTGTTCAAATATAGAATTAGTGATGAGGGGGGACAAGCTATTGCAATGGGACTGAATAAGTTAATTAATAGATATATGGACTGAACCTATGCTCTTGATCTTTGCACCCAGTAACTGCACTTATTCCTGTAGTTATATCACTCCCTATTTTATATAGAAGTCATATATACTCCCTTATCTCTTGTATATTCTCTGACTCTCAACATTTAATGTAAAATACTCATCTTCTCATTGATAGTGAGGAACTGAAATTGTACAGGGGAAAATGGTGGTGATTATATCCTATGAGATCTAATTCAGATGTGTGAAAAGCATTGCAAGGTTACTAGTGTCACCTTTCCCCCAGCCTATTCCACATAATGACCAGTTAGCATCAAACCTTAGATATTTTCATTTTAAATCTCCATAGAGAATGTCACTGTAAGCAATGTCAGATGTAAATTTGTTGCTGAATATTTGCTGAAAAGCTTAATGATAGTTATTAATCATTTGATTTGGTTATATGTCTTTGGATCTTGATTTCTTTGTCATATGGATTATTTCCCAGACCACCCTAGAGCCTTTATAGTAGAATTTTCAATAGAAAAATTTCAAAAAAGTATGTACCTTTAATCTGGTATTCTTTTCACATTATTGAAAAAAGAATTTCAGTTCTTCACCCAAACAATTAGAGAAATGTGATTGAGAGATTTCTTAATCCTTGATGATTCCATCATGAGAGGACAGATCATCTGTAACTGAATGTCACCCACTTTTTGTTTTAACCGTTGTTTTTGCGAGTTATGCATGTCCTGCACAGTATGATTCAGCAGTGCTGTTTTGCTCAAGGTATGTTTTAGTACCACTTGTGTAAACAATGAGTGTGTAGTGTTGTCATTTTATGGGTTAAATCTTCCAGCAAAATATGTTCCTTCAGTTGTAAGTTGCCCTTCTCCTTCATTACAGTATCTAGTGTCATAGTGAGTTAGGGTTTCTGTAGTACCTAAATTTGACTGCTTAAATGCACTCTAGTGTATTACCATTAGCAATATCAGGAACTTGATATTAAAAAATATGAACTGCAAGTGACTGGGTCAAAACATTACAATATAATCTCTGCTGTTAAGTTTTCAAATGGAAACAAAGACTTTATGTTGATGTAAAAATAATACATTAGCCCAAAAAGTCTCTGTGGTTGATGATAATTACATATACATGTATTGCTGGCAAAACTCAGCAGATTAGAGTAGAATGGGCGACTGAGTTTATGTCCTTCAAATCTTGGAGGTCTAGGATAGAGGTGCATCTTCCTCTATACCACTTCTGCTCTGGGTTTCTAATTACAGTCAGCCCTTTGTATCTGCTGATTCATTCAAATGTGGATGGAAAACATTTGAGAAAAAAAGGTAACAACAATAAATATAACAAAACAATAAAAAATACAAATAAAACTGTACAATGTAACTACTATTTATATAGCATGTACATTGTTTTAGGTATTATAAATGATCTAGAAATGACCCACTAGTAGGTCCACTATACATTTGGCATGTAATGTGTCTGTTTAACTTCTCCATGAAATATACATTTATTGGGAAATTCTACATTTGAAGAAGGTAAATACTTGGGTTCTTAATATAATGAGATGAATATACATTACAAATAATTAGAAAGGATAGAGGCAATATCAAATATTGTTATTCAAAAAATTTTAAGGTCAGTTTAGAGTTTTATATATTTGAAAAGAACTTTGACATGGATGTAGCTGAAAGTAAAAGGTTTTGTCTGCATATTTTGAGTCAGATAGAGAAAGATAACATTGAAAATTGTTGGACAATGCATCATAAAATTAAATAAATATCAATTTTATTCTTTCATAGATTGCTTATTATGGAACCAGGCATTCTTTTATGTTTGAGGGTACAACACTGAACATTTGTGCTTACATTTCAGTGAGATGAGATCAGGTCATGAATAGGTAAATATATGTCCAATTATTATTGGTTCTGTGAAGAAAAAACAAGAAAAGGGAAAGTTGTAGGGGGAGGTAGGTAGGTTGCAGGAAGAGAGAGTTTTGCAATTTCAAGTACCTACATGGTTAGGAAGTGAATGCTTTAATTAGAAGGTGACATGACATCATGACATATGATGTAAGTCCTAAAGTGAGCCATGAAAATATTTGGGAAAGAACTTCCTGGGTAGAAGAAATCATGAATGCGGAAGCTATAAGGTAGGAGCTTGCATAGCTTGTTAGCAATTATAAGAAAGCCAGGAATGAGTGAGAGGAATAGTAGTAGGGAATGAGGTCAGAGACATAACAAGTTATAGGCATCAGATCTTGAGGATTGTAGGCTGTTGTTAAAACTTTGGCTTTTAATCTAAATTGAAAGTGACATTAGTATTAAAATGATGATTCTAACCACTGTGTGAAAAAAATAGGCTGTTGAGGGAACGTGCACAGAAGTGACAGAGAGCAGTTGGGAGCTTATTGCAGTAATCCTGGGAGAGGAACAGTTGACTTGGATCAAAGTGACAGTTGAAAACTGTGTCTTATAATCACAGCCTTTCTAAATTTTTCCTTTTGAAATTTAAAGTAGTTATTTTTGTCTTAAATTTCTTCTACTCTTTAGATAGTAGGGCTTCTTGGGATATTTTATTAATGCACTGTAAAAGAATAAATATTGTCTTTGTGTTTGCATGATTGACTTGCCCTCAGTGTTTGTTCTTCAAAGCTGAAGCCCATCTTGAAATTACTTACTTTTCAGAATTGTCAATTCCCAGTAATGACCAAACTGGAACTTAACTTTTTGTTTTCAAAAGGAAAGGAAACTAACCTCAGAGTATATATTGCAGGGTAAACCACTTGACAGTAAGAGTGGATGGAAGTTTCATGGAACAGTACCTTCCAAGATTTTTATAAAACCTGTAGTTGTGAATATATGAAGATGAACTTTTAGAGAATATTAATTTTGCTATATTTAATTCAATTACTTTGCTTTCTAACTTTGTTTTAAAAGTTAGTTATAAATTCCCAGGTCAAAAGAAATGATGAATTTATAAGAGGTATACAGAACAGAAGCAGCATTTGGATGCTGTATAATCTTATTGTATTTTCCTTCATGTTCTCCTGCATAGTTTCTGATGAAGAACAATCAGTAGTGTACGTTCCAGGTATGATTTTTTTCTATGTTAAAATTTGGGAAGCTTCCTTCAGTCCTTAATTGTTAGAAGAAAATAAAGCTATTAGGACAACGTTCTAGGTTTAACTGACTGGATGCAGAGCAGTACATCAAAACCTAAAATTTGTTTTTGAATATTTGGCATAACCCTGTTAA